CCCCAAAACCCCAAAACCCCAAAACCCCATAGGTTTATTCTAAGCTTGAGCTATGTATTAGAAATATGGACAATTTTTATTTGCTTTAGATGCCTATTATACCTCTGGTTGGAGACTTGGATGATCTTGTCCAGAATCTGACTGTGCCTGTGTGAAATTCTTTTACTCTAAAGTTTTAAAGCAAACTGACTTTGTTTCCATAATGAAGTGAGTTCTCTAGATCTTTATCCTGGATTTCTATAATGAGTAAGTATGAATGCTAACGGATATCTTTGAGTTTGGAGAATAGCCTAGAGATTATAGCTAAATATTACTTCTTTTCCTCATTGTCGAAGCTATTAGCAATTCAGTTCCTATCTCTTTTGAAGTCTTTGTAAACAGACTTGTTCCTTGAGACCAACATTCCATCTTTATTTCAAGAACTCTTTGTATGGAGTAGATGCAAGTCCAAGTTTGCTAAATGCTTATAAGTCAGTGTACTTTATTCCGCTTTCCTTATTACTCTTTAAGCTTTGTTCTCTATTTTGTTGTGAAAGGTAATTTACCGTTTATTCTTTTTATTTTTAGGTAGGAAATTAGAGAATTCTTCAGGCTTGAGAGATTCCAATATTTTTACTATTCGAAGAGCTATAGAATTCAGTAAGAACATTACTTCGTTTCTCCCGTTCACTTAATGGGGCATTTGATGCTCTTTTCAATCTCTGTTTTCTGTTAGAACTTCTTCTTTTCGATAGAAGCGGCTAGAATAAGAATTTATATTTATTTATCAAAAATAAACTTTCACAAATCTCTCAAAAATCTATAACCCCAAATTTCACACCAAATTCCATATCAAACTCAAAGAACCATATTTCAACCCCCTATATCTTCTCTCTTACCTCCTTTACCCTCATATCTGCATTCAATCCTCCAATCTTCACACTTTTAATCTTCTCCATCTGTAATCCCCAGAAACCTCTTCTATCCTATCTTTCACACCCCAAACAGACCTTCTCATGCCTCCAAATCCATTTCCAATCCTCTCTATCTGAAAGAAATCCTCAATCTTCAGTGGGTACACATTCTGGGTACTCCTCTTAGCCTGAATATTCTTCAGATCCTTAATATCTCTATTATTTCCTAAATTCCTTCTGCACGGTTATGTTCTTAAATTTTCTAGCCTGCAGATTCCTACAGAGAGGTTAGCAAGAAATTACTGCTCCCGCTTGTGGTGGACTAGCTGCGCATTGAGATTAATGGACTTCCGCTGCCGTACCACATTCTGTCGGGAATTTCTGTAGTGGTTCTGTGAGTTTTGAGAGTATTTTGGGTACATTATTCTGAAAATAAGGATTGTTTCTGATAAATTTACTTTGAGTCCTGACTAGTATTGGCTATATTTGTTATTAATGTCAGTAAACTTACTCGTTAAAGACTTGTTCCGACTTCTATGTGGAAGAAAACCTATAGGCATATTGAGAAAGAAGGATTCAGGAAGGTATGTGTACTTCTTGTTTTTAAATAGCTCGTCTTTGACATGGTTTTGGATAAATTATTATAAAATATCATTCAATTATTGATTATGGCTTAGGGGTTTTGGGGTTTTGGGGTTTTGGGG